ATTGACGGCGCTATAGAAGTACCTGAAGTAAATAAAAGTAAATAAATAAAATACACTTGCAAAGCGAAGAACCTAAGAATTACAGGCTCGCTTGTGGACAGTCTCTCTCTCTAAACTGATACAGAGCTGCATGAACTGAATATGGAAGGGGAAAGGGTCCCTCCTCTGGTCATTTAGCTGTTTTTATGTTCTGAATAGAACTGAACAACAGGGAATGAAATATAAGAACTCTCATAATCTGGGATAAGCAAATATTATCTAAATTCTGTACATTCATCATGTGTATTTTTCTATGAATATCGGTGTGTTTTGTGTATTTCCTCCAGATCTGTGCAGTGATTCAGTGTGAAAACTTTCCCTCTGTGCAGGAGCTTCCTGTAATAGGACCGCTCACTGCTGCTCTCTCTCCTTGTGCAGGGTGACTGGTCTTGTCTCCACCCCCTCCTGTAGTTTTCTGCAGCCAGCCTTTAGTGGGTGGAGCCTACTGGCTCCCTCCCACAGCTCTGCTCTCTGCACAGGCTACACACAGCCCAGTAATTTATTTATTTCAGGTACTTATATAGCGCCATCAATTTACGCAGCACTTTTACATATATATTGTACATTCTCATCAGTCCCTGACCCTCAAGGGGTGTACAATCTAAGGTCCCTAACTCACATTCATACATACACATACTAGGGACAATTTAGACAGGAGCTAATTCACCTACCAGCATGTCTTTGGAGTGTGGGAGGAAACCAGAGTACCCGGACAAAACCCACGCAGGCACAGGGAGAACATGCAAACTCCAGGCAGGTGGTGCTGTGGCTGGGATTCGAATCAACGACCCTAGTACTGCCAGGTGGAAATGCTAACCAGTTAGCCACTGTGCTGCCCGATGTTTTATATAATATATATATATATATATATATATATATCACACTATATACAGATATACAGTATATACATATATATATATATATATATATATATAATATACTACAGATATCACCACTACTTTTATATGGTAAGATCTAGGTTTGTACAGGCATTTGGTGCACACAAAGTGGATTAATATCCTTTGTGGCAATTGAGGAATATACTATATTTAACTCCCTGGAACCGGTGCCTCCCGGCCCATTAAGGGGTTTCAGATACCGGGAGGTGGGGCAGGGTTTTTAATCATGTGACCGCCGTGATTGGCTGAGACATGATCAGAAAACTCCCAATCATAAGTAGAGCTTTCTGTTAGCTGCCAGTAACTGTGCCAGGAGCGTGCACAGTGCGCACTGTCAGCACAGTTCTGTTTTTTCTGTGTTTGCGCATATATGCGCCCTCTTGGTATTAAGGCCAACTCACCTGGAAGCCGCATATTTGCATACAGCTGGCGGGAAGGAGTTAAACAACAGTTTTTGTGCTTGGAGTTCGACTTGGCTCTTTCATACTCTTTTATACATGCATTTGTGTCACCAGTATGTCCCTCAGGTTCTTCCTGGCCCGTTGACATCCCGGGTTGGGGGTTGCTGCATTATCGCACAGTTATTTAACTGCCTGCAGTTTTCTGAACGAATATTATTGCATGAGAAATGTCTATTCTGGTTGAACAGTTATATTGCTTGGTTACAGCCCTGCTGTGCTTAGGACGGAGTTAACAGTAATCTTTTAATCTGCAATTAGTTTTAATTAAATGTTGCAGTATAGTCAGCGATCAAGCTTTATGAGAAATACAGTTAATGAGGTCAGCCTGGTAAAATGACAAAAGCTCCGCACAATCTTTTTTAGAACAGGGCGGGAGAATCTTTTCTGGCGTTCTAGCAATGTAATAAAATGAATGTTATAAGTTTGACATATACGTTATCCCTGTCTAGTACGGTTTTACATAGAGTTCCCAATATCTATCTATCTATCTATCTATCTATCTATCTATCTATCTATCTATCTATCTAATCTATCTAATCTATCTAATCTATCTTATCTATCTATCGACAGTATCTATCTATCTATCTATCTATCTATCTATCTATCTATCTATCTATCTATCTATCTATCTATCATCTATCTATCTACAGTATCTATCTATCTATCTATCTATCTATCTATCTATCTATCTATCTATCTATCTATCTATCTATCTATCTACAGTATCTATCTATCTATCTATCTATCTATCTATCTATCTATCTATCTATCTATCTACAGTATCTATCTATCTATCTATCTATCTACAGTATCTATCTATCTATCTATCTATCTATCTATCTATCTATCTATCTATCTATCTATCTATCTATCTATCTATCTATCTATCTATCTATCTACAGTATCTATCTATCTATCTATCTATCTATCTATCTATCTATCTATCTATCTATCTATCTATCTATCTATCTATCTATCTATCTATCTATCTATCTACAGTATCTATCTATCTATCTATCTATCTATCTATCTATCTATCTATCTATCTATCTATCTATCTATCTATCTATCTACAGTATCTATCTATCTACAGTATCTATCTATCTATCTATCTATCTATCTATCTATCTATCTATCTATCTATCTATCTATCTATCTATCTATCTATCTATCTTAAACTGACTACAATAGACATGACAGTACAGAGTGGGTCAGTTTTCTGGCTGTGCTGGAAATTCAGACTGTTCTCCTCCAATTATCAGACTTCTGATGACACCCCCCTCCTCCCCCCATAGCCATTCACTGTGAAGTTCAGTGTCCTATTGTTTCTCCTTCCCCAGCTATCTGAGCTCCTTATGCAGCTGAGAACAGAGGGTATGTGATCACATATAAAAAAAAAAAGTGCGTGTGTGTGCGTGTGTGTGTGTGGGGGGGTATTTATAATGTTTTATACTTATAAACAAAATGTTTTACCTTTAATTTCTATCTTCTTAAATGGAATGGGTTGTTTTGCAAGATGGGGGTTTACATATACTTTAAGCCTTGCAGAGTGTGACATATTTACATCAAGTCTGCCTGAGAAGAAGACCTTTGCTCTATTTACAGGGTGTTTTTTTTTTTTTTACAAAGAAAGTTCTTCAAAATCTGTTTAAACAAGAAATTGAGATATAAAGTAGAAAAGAAAGTATTTTTAGCTTGAAGTTTACCTGAATGACTCACCTGGGTGATAGACGTTTATATATAAACGGATTCTGAGCTTTCCTGCTCTCTGGGTATAGAACTAGCCTGAGGTCTGATAGATAAGATCACCCGGACATACCTCCCAGTCCTATCTACTCCAACTTTACATGATCAGGGGACTAAAGGGGGACCAATACCTACCCCCCATCCTTAACCTAAGTAACCACACTGACAATAAAATGGAGTTAATGGCCCGAAAACGGCATTTTATTACAACCATTAATAAATAACATTTAAATAACACAAACGCAGGATAACATATGCTTTTCAAGGTCCCAATAGGCATCAAGAAAAGGAATACCTGTGTCCTGCTTAACTAGGCCTCCAGCCGCAACACCACCGACTCAGAGACACCACCGCAGATACCCCCACCCAGGGGCAGACTGCCCGAGGGCCTGGGGTCAGTAGGGGGCCCCATGAGATGCCCCTGGTATCTTTTTGATAGGCTTTTTTGAGCTTGGGCAAGGACACAGGGGCCCCCATGATCCCCTATTGCCCGGGGGCCCCATGAGTTGTCAGTCCGCCCCTGCCCCCAGCAGAACAACTGGAAGCCATAGCTCAGACGGGTTCCTACAAAGTTCCTTTCTTGTGCCCACATTAACCAACGAGGACCTTGAACCCCTCCAGTTGTCCCCCAGCACCAACTGGCACAACCACCACCAAAAACAAACCATAAGACAACAGGCGGGCAGACGGGAGGGAAGTTTGCCTTGTGAAAACTCTCTTCAGACTGAAGACCCCCTGCCACACCCTGTCAGACCACCCCTTGTAGCTTCACCCGCTCCCTCCTTAAAACCATTTAGACTCCCCCTTTAGCTAATGGGACTCTCCTCTCCCAACCCCCTTTAACCCCTGTCAAGCCGGCCCTTCATTCAGGTCTTCTTTCTTTCATTTACTATGGGCCTTCCTTCCCTGAAAGATATTATTGATGGGTCTGATTGCTAAATAATGATTGATTTATGGTAGTCATATGGCAATCATGGAAGAGGATCAGACCACTACTAAACAGAAATACAGTGAGCAAATGTACTGATCATATATGTCTACCCCCATGTACATGTTCACTCACAAACTACAACATTGTATTGATCTGCAACACATTTTTTTTAAAGTATAAATGCTATAGGTTCCTCAAGCCTAGATGTTATACAGTTATAGATTATCACCTTTAGACCTGGTTAATACCAATGCGATTTGTCAGCTCAAAGATCGCATGACAAATCGCAATGGCACCATTCAACTCAAGTCGCAGCAACTTTGAAAAAGGTTCATGTGCTACTTTCCTGTGATTTCATGGCAACTCATATTGTCTCCTGTTAAATTAATTTGCAAGCCTCAATAAAATCATACATCCAAATCACACTGATCTGGGGCCCTGAAATAGTGCTAAAGTAGCGTGATTTCAATGCTGCACTGGTGTGAACCAGGGCTTAGGGTCTTCGCGGGTTAGACAACCCTGCTGAAGCTCCTGGCCTTTTCCCATGTTGTCTCACCCCCCCCCCCACTACAATTGTAGCAATGGCAAATAACATTGGATCCTAGTCCAAACCCTCATGAGAAAGCCTGCCAGCCAGGAGCTTGTCACCTCTACTTTCCAGTACAGTGACGGCTTCCTGGCATGCTTGCTTACTCATTTTCTTTCTTGAACTCACTGTTAAAATGAATTAATCAAGAGATTTATAACCCTTACATTGTCAATCAATGGGAAGAATGCATGCTCCTTACGTTGATGGTCAGTGGGAAGAATGTCCCTTACATTGGTGGTCATTGAGAATAATGTCCCTTACATTGGTGGTCAGTGGGAAGAATGTTCCTTACATTGGTGGTCATTGAGAATAATGTCCCTTACATTGGTGGTCAGTGGGAAGAATGTTCCTTACATTGGTGGTCAGTGGGAAGAATGTCCCTTACATTGGTGGTCAGTGGGAAGAATGCTCCTTACATTGGTGGTCAGTGGGAAGAATGTCCCTTACATTGGTGGTCAGTGGGAAGAATGTCCCTTACATTGGTGGTCAGTGGGAAGAATGCTCCTTACATTGGTCATCAGTGTGAAGAATGGCCCTTACATTGGTGGTCATTAATAAGAATGCTCCTTACATTGGGGGTCAGTGGGAAGAATGCTCCTTACATTGGTGGTCAGTGGGAAGAATGCCCCTTACATTGGAGGTCAGTGGGAAGAATGCCCCTTACATGGAGGTCAGTGGGAAGAATGTCCCTTACATTGAAGACCAGTGGGAAAAATGCCCTTACATTGGAGGTCAGTGGGAAGAATGCTTCTTACATTGGAGGTCAGTGGGAAGAATGCTCCTTACATTTGAGGTCAGTGGGAAGAATGTTCCTTACATAAGGGATCAATAAGAAGAATGTCCCTTACATTGGAGGTCAGTGGGAAGAATGCTCCTTACATTTTAGGTAAGTGGGAAGAATGCTCCTTACATTGGAGGTCAGTGGGAAAAATGCTCCTTACATTTGAGGTCAGTGGGAAGAATGCTCCTTACATTTTAGGTCAGTGGGAAGAATGTTCCTTACATTGGAGGTCAGTGGGAAGAATGCTCCTTACATTGGTGATCAGTGGGAAGAATGTCCCTTACATTGGAGGTCAGTGGGAAGAATGTTCCTTACATTGGAGGTCAGTGGGAAGAATGTTTCTTACATTGGTGGTCAGTGGGAAGAATGCTCCTTATATTGGTGGTCAGTGGGAAGAATGTTTCTTACATTGGTGGTCAGTGGGAAGAATGCTCCTTACATTGGTGGTCAGTGGGAAGAATGCTCCTTACATTTTAGGTCAGCGGGAAGAATGTTCCTTACATAAGGGATCAATAAGAAGAATGTCCCTTACATTGGAGGTCAGTGGGAAGAATGTTCCTTACATTGGTGGTCAGTGGGAAGAATGTTCCTTACATTGGTGGTCAGTGGGAAGAATGCTCCTTACATTGTTGGCTATTGGGAAGAAAGCCCCTCTTAGCCTATGCCCCATGCACAGATGTTTACAGACATGTAGAGGCAGGGGCATTTAGGAGCACAATTCAATGCACCAAACTTGCATGCAGGAGCTTTTCTGCAGAAAAAGCGCCCAACGCGTCGAAACATGCCTAAACGCTAGGCACGTTAAGTGCTTGAATGTTCATTCATTTCAATGACCAGGATAATCTAAATGCATCTAAACGCATTTGAGAACTTTAGATGAGCATAGTGTCCCTGAGGCATTTAATACTTTTTCTCTGGCTTTAGCATTTTGTCAATTCCTTGTAACAAGTATACAGACCAAAAGCTCTGACTTTGCTTGTGTCATACTTGTTCTAGTCACTGGAGACAGCCAGGAAACTAGTATTTTCAGGAGGACAGCAATGGCAGCCTTCCTTAAATTCCCATGAGCTATTTCCTAGTGCTTTCAGCGAATCCTTCTCTTTTTGCATTTTTGTTATGCGATTTGAGAATGTTTTGTCCCAATTTTCATCATTTTGGCCGCCATTCAAGCACCGAGCCGTGTCCGTGGCCCGTATGATTCAACACAGCGTGGAGACCGCCGTGTCTCCCTTTGAAAACATTTGGCTCGTCTTCAGACGCCGAGTGCGAAAAGAAACATTTCAAGAAGAAACAGCGATATGTGTTTTGATTACAGAAAGCCTTCCCGGAGCCAGAGTGAGAAGACAGTTGAAAGCAGTTATCCTCCAGCTATTCCAGTTCTGTGTCTGGAGTTTAAATAAGAAGACCAAAATAATAAGCTGTAATCGCTTCTGTGCCGCACGCATCTTCACCTTCTATAATTAAAGATGGATTCCAACTTCTATCAATTCAGTATAAAAGTGGCAGAGCTCCACATTGTGGTCTATAAATTGTTACAGAAACCCTCCCACCAACTTAAAACTTTGTAGGTAAAAGCACGAAAAATCAATTATTTTCAATGCTTACTTCCTTTCCATATTTTTTTTCACTTGCAATGTATATTTGAACCTGTTAAAAAATTTGACTTCAGGAGTGAATTCCGTAGCATAGCCCCCTTCTCTTCTGTCAGTGTCTTGTTACTGTCTGTAAATTCAGCACTCTGATATATCAGCAAGGATAATGATTCTTCATTTCAAATAGGGTGTGGTACATCTGGTAAAAATGGCCATCAGGCTTTAATCAACTCTGACGGTTGAAATGCGTTGGAATTTTTACTAGCTGTGCCACACTATTTTGAAATTAAGGATCATCGTTTTTACTGACACATCAGAGCGTTGGCTTTTCTTGTGGATTGTACACTGCTGGATGTTATCAGAAATCATCTTTGAATGGTTAGCACTTCTGCCTGGCAGTACTAGGGTTGTTGGTTCGAATCCCAGCCACAGTACCACCTGCCTGGAGTTTACATGTTCTCCCTGTGCCTGTGTGGGGTTCTTCCAGGTTCTTCGGTTTCCTCCCACACTCCAAAGACATGCTGGTAGGTTAATTGGATCCTATCTAAAATTGTCCCTAGTTGAATCCTTCAGACCAGATCCCCAAAAGAAATCCCTCAATCATCTCCATCAAAGTTCAGTAGAATAGCACCCCCAGCTAACCCAGCTGGGACCTCGATGAGAGATGAAGAAACACAGTTGGACTGCCCATGGGGGCAGAAGCTCTTCAGGCTGAAATCTTCTCCTGGACAAGAACCCCTCTGCTCCAGGCCTCAATAACAAAAAAAATGCAGCTCTATCAATACAAAAATCTTTAATCATATTGCAAAGAACAATACTCATAAAT